ACGGTCATTATGGCAGCTTCTTGCTACAGAGCCAAAGTAAGGTGGGCGAGCACGAAGGGCGGTAGCGGAATGCATTCCACAGACAGTATGAAAGCCTGCTTCACACAGTAGCTGTAGGCGACACCAATGGTGACCAGCAACATGAGAGCAGATGAGAGCCGGCGGGGACCAGACACGATGCCGCGGCGCGCGAACCTGCGCTTGAAGTCTTCAGCTGCAGAATCACAGGCAGCCTGAGGCGGGCGACAAGCGGGTGAGGAATGAACGGAGGCTGCGGTCGCATGTCGGTAGATGGTCGTGGACAAGCGCAGAGACAACGGTGGAAGCCTAAATGGAGAGACAAGGGAAGAGCAAGTGGCTGACGCTGAGTCATGACAAACAGTTCCATTGTTCTGGCTCGCGGAGTTTGAAGGTCTGTCGCTGTGCCACCATCATAATTACCTGATTCAGATTTTGATCTGAGGCGGAAAGTCAAAAGTGGTACCAGGCTACCCAAGCGTAGCCAAACACATATGTTGATCCCCTCGTCTACCAGGGGTAGGCCATGGGTAGACCAATGTGACCCAATGTGAACCAAGCCTCTGACTACAAACGGCCTCAACGCAGTGGATATTTAAAGTACTAGATGTCGTCTTAAAGTATATTCTGGTACAATGAGAAACACGTTAGGGGTTTCTCACTGCCCAGGGCGCACATAAGCTGATTTGATCAAGACGCCAAGTCAACATTCTAACATGTCGCCCCCACCGGGGTTCTCTTTGTGTTCCTATGTGCGGTGTTAAAAGTTAACTTAAACCCGCCGGGTCTCCAGAGGATGTGCAATCTTTTTTACGGTGTTAGCTCTATCTCCTTCCTATTTTTGACATGCAATATATCCAAATGTCGTCACTTCACCTTATCTGTCATTTTATAATTGTAACGCACTACTGGCTCATCTCATTGGCTGCTGCAACCAGTAATCGAGAAAGATCTCAGCCACCGGTTGCAGATTGCCTTTTGTGCAGTGACAAGGGGCACAGCTGATTTTTTCTGGATGCCACCACATTGCTACACCAGAGACACATGAGTGAAGGTAGTTTTGCTCAGCCTGCGGATGCTGTCTACAGTCCGCGGACAGCTATGCCAAGCCATTGCCAAGTGTGTTCTCAAACTTGATATGGGAGCGTCTGTAATGACGAAATTGAACCTCTATAAGACACAAGTAGAGTAGTGCTTTTTAAGTTGCTACATTTGAAAGATAGCACATAAAGATAGGTCTTTTTTCGGTACGAAATGTCAACAGACACATATAGCCTGTAAATATCATTTGATACATATCATGCTGATAATGCACATAAGGATCGCAGCCAAAGATATATATAAGCTCAGAACCGCAGCGGCCCCCATCAAAGATCCCACCATGCGTACTACTGCAAGTTTCAAGAATCTCGTCCAATACACCAGCCTGGCTGCAACTACTGTCAAGAACATTGCAGAAGCAGCCAAAGTGCCTTTCCTTGGCTCAACTGCTGCATTGTCCTTGTCAATTTTGAAGTGTATTGAGGTAAGCCGGTTCCAACCATTGGAACAATATATAACCAGAACAAAAAAAGACAACCAGATCGAATAAGGACAAATATGCTGAGATTATGGAGCAGATTCATGAAATCCTGTGCAGCATTGTCCAGCTTCATTCAATGTCAGAAATGAAGGGTGTCCTTCCAACTGCACTTTTGTATGACATTGCAAAATTCACAGAGTGAGCACCATCTGTTGCTGACATTGGGTTAATTTAATAGTTTACACCAGGGCACTTGAAAAGTTGTTCACAATTCTGAATGGGCAACAAAAGGGCACTCTTGGAAAAATAAAAGGACTTTTTAGACAGCCTGAGGCTGCAGAGAGATTGGACACATGGAAGCAGGAGCTCAGCAGGATGGTTGAGTTGTTCCAGGTATGTTCAGACACATTGTTTTCAATGCACATTCAAATCATTGGCATTCATTGCAGGCTCGAGTTACAGGTTCAACCTTGTCTGAAATGGGCCAAATGAAAATTGATGCAAAGGAACAACATGAACAACTTGTTGCCCTGTTGGAGATGGACTCTGACCTCACCAGTTCTGATTGCTCCTCAGCAAGTAGCAAATTATGGCAATTAACATTCTCAGCTGATGGTTGTTAGGTGAGAGGAACCCTGTCCAGCTCAGGCAATAGGTGAGCCAAATATGAAAACATAATGAATCTTGCTAAGTTCTTGAACAGCTCAGGATCCTTCGGTCTACTTCCACCCTGCCCACAAATATTCCATGGCCGTGAAGCAGAGCTCCAGGATGTGGTTAATATTCTAGTGCAGGCTTCTGCTCACATTGCTATCCTTGGTGCAGGGGGCATGGGAAAGACCAGTCTTGCAACAGCAGCCCTCCATGATCCACAAGTGGAAGCCAAGTATTCACATCGATATTTTGTTCCATGCCACTCGAGCGCCACTTGCAATGAACTGGCAGCGACAATTGCAGATCACATTGGGTTGGAGAAGGGCTCGAACATGGCAAAGAAGATTGCCCATTATTTTGCCCATACACCTCCTTCTCTCCTGGTCCTTGACAATCTTGAGACCCCTTGGGAAACCCTTTCATCTCGTGCTGAGGTTGAAGAATTTCTCTCTCTTATGACTGATGTTCCCCAGTTGGGTCTCATGGTGAGTAATGTTTGCAACTTTATCAAATAATATGTTTAATTGTTGTAGATCACCCTGAGAGGCACTGAGCGGCCGAACCAAGTCAAATGGACCAAGCCTTTCCTGGCCCCTCTCAAGCCGCTTTCCAATGTGGCTGCTTGGCAAACATTCATTGCAGTTGCTGATGACTGCCATGACAATGCTGGTATCAAAGAACTCCTTGAACTGACAGGGAATCTTCCACTGGCAGTCAGCCTCATTGCAAGTGTTGCTGGTTCTGAAGGCTGTGCGCAGGCACTTTCTCGTTGGAAATTGGAAAGTACTCAGATGCTTTCAGAAGGGTATGACCAGAGATCAAGTCTGGACATATCCATCATGTTGTCATACACAAGCTCCCGTATGACCCTAGGTGCCCAGGAGTTGCTCAGCATTCTTTCTATGCTACCTGATGGATTTACAGATGCCGATTTGGTCCAGGCCAATTTCCCCATCGTCAACATCCTGGCATGCAAGACAACTCTTATTCAGACATCGTTGGCCTTTGTTGACCAGGATGAGCACCTGAAAGTACTGGTTCCAATTCGAGAGCATATCCTGCATGTTCATCCTCCTGCAAATGCTTTGAAGCTAATGCTATGGGAGCACTTCCATCAAATTCTTGATCTTTGGAACCAATTCAAGGATCTCAATGTAAGGGATGTACAGCCTCAAATCTCACGAAATTTGGGCAACTTTAACCCTGTTCTCTACAATGGGCTTGAACCAGAGGGGCCGGATACTATTCAGAATTTTGAGAGCATCCTGTTCCTCAATAATTTCTATCGTCGAGTTCATGAGACACCTTCCCCACTTCTGCTCCTGCTCACGAAACAAAAGCCTCATTGGAAATACCACCCAATTGTTGGGGAATATCTTATTGAGCTACTGCAAAGCTCAGACTATTTGTCTGACCTGGATTTCAATAGCCACATCACCCTAGGTGCTGAGCATTTCAAATCACAAGATGCACTGGAACAGGGTGAGACACAATCACTCCAATTGTGTTCACCTAACTAATTTTGTACCAGCCCGATGGTACCGTGCTCTGGGAGTCCACTCCCAGTACACAAAGTCAGATTTTGTGGGAGCCCTGAGGTATTATGAAAGAGCCCATTCTCTGGCAGAAAGTATTGGATACCCCACCCTTGTTGGTGAAGAAGCTTTGAACAGCATATGCAATGTCCTGATTCTTACTGGAAAACCCCTGAGTGCACTCAAATATGCCAAGGAGGCACATAGATATGCCGAGCACATAGGGAACATCTATGGACAAGCATGGTCTCTCACTGTTGAAGCTAGATGTCACACAGTATTGGCAAACTATTCGCCTGCTCAACATATTCTCCAAAAATCCAGGGACCTGATACTTGCTTGTGGTCAACAACAAAGTGCCGTGGGGATTCGCCTCCTTAATTATCAGGCTGAAATCCACCTTGCGAAATCTGAATATCTAGAATCTCGCAACCTTCAAGCCACCATTGCATCCTGCTGCCAGCCAACTTCATACAGTTCCATTCTGGCAAACTTGAACATTGTGTTCATTGATATTGCTATTGGTGCCAACTCAAAAGGCATTCACCAAAATCTAGATGTGGCTCGGTCTCATTTGACGGCATTGTATGGGTTTCAAGCCAGAGAGACCAGTTTGATAGCTGATTATGGAGCTGCTGAGCTCTGTCTTCGAGATGGGCCTCATGGGGCTGCAAGAGAAATGTTCGAAGAATGTCTGGCACCGTCTCAGAACATCCCAACAGATGTGGCACTCTATGGTCTTGGAAGACTTGGAGATCTTTCCACCGGCATGAATGACACCTCAACTACACTCCGATGGGCCGGAATATTCCTTGGCATGGCATTGGACTGCAAGGACAAACTCTGCACAATGCAAGCATTCCGATGCCTTGGCCAGATTTATTCCGCCAAAGGTGATGATGAAACTGCGCTCAGCCTATTCAAGGTTGCTCTTGATGGATTCACCTTAATGGATGTCCATCGCTGGAGGGCAGATTGCATGGTTCGAATTGCCGATATACTGAATACTCGTGGAGAGGTCATGAAGCCAGTTGAATTGTGGAAGGCAGCAATGCCCCTGTTCAAAAGATCTTCCCAGCTGAAGGATATACTCAAGATTGATGCGAAGCTAGCAGAGGTTGACCCTGCTATTTTGGTCCAGTATGAGGAACGACAGTCTCCTCTTTATATCTGCCTAAGAGAAAGTGACTTGTTCAATCTGGACTGAGTCTTGACTTGACCCTTCTGTTTTGGGGAATATACAAAGCTGCTGGTAGGCAAATGCAGAATATGGTTCAGTAGCATAGTGGTCCTGCGTCTCCATTTGACAGTCTGTATAAGTCTTCTGTGATGTTGCAAGGAGAAGAATACCCGTTCAACTCGGGTCTGAACCATTCGGAAGAGCTATAATATTTTTGGTTTTAACATTGCAACGAGAGAATTATTCATTTTGCAGCTCAAAAACTGAAAAGGCAGCCTGGAGGTGCTTTGTTTTCTTTCTGAGCCGCGATTGTATGGCTGTTATAGTGTCTCATAATTATTTTTTCACCCAGCTTGAGGGATTTTTCATGAAATTCACACAGGTTAGGCTTGCTTTCCATAAAGATCACACAGCTTCAATTTCATCTTCGAAAAAAGTGCACCCCTCATATACTGTAAGAAGTTGCAGGTATGAATGCCAAAAAGAATCACAGCCTGTGTGATTTTCAACGCACCACTGCAAAAATTCACAAAAGGACACCATCACTGATGTGAAAAATTAGCACTGCTCAAGTTTTCTTTCAAAAACACACATGTTCTAAATTTACAAACCACACCGGTTTTTTCTGGCAAAAAAAAATAGCTTCACCAGTATGACCTATGAGGTGGCTTAGCCCACGACTAGGATTGGTCCTGATATATTATCTATTGTTGCTCACGGTGTTCCCTCCCTCCACAACTCCCATCCTACTTAAGTAGGAGAGATTCATGAACATAGTGTGTGAACGGTTAAGGTGATCAGCAAGGTCGGTTCAAGTTACAGCCGTTTGCAGAACTTAGGGTGCGGCCTTTGTTTTTTTTTTGTCAGCTTTCTTTTGCGCAGCGATTCCGAGCTCAATTCTTTTCGGTTTGGCTTGAAAATAAGCGCATCTTCTCGGCAATGAAAATCCGGATCCGACCACCACCTTCGATCTCCTGATGCGATCACAATTGCCTTATTAGGCAAATATCAGTCTTTACAGTGACCCATACACACCCAGGACTGAGTTCTTTCGACCTATGTAAAATGGTGGGGTAAAAGGATTCATATTCATAAGCATTTTCAAATATATAAAAAGATCGACTTTTATTTTAAATGAAAAGGTATAAAAAAACCGTAACTTTTCGCGATGCTTTCAGCTACTAAAAATATGTTGACTATTGTTAATGCACGAAAGGCCTACTGAAAGAGGTCCTTTCAGCAAGCCTTTCAACAAGGGAAGAAAGGCAGCTTTTTCTTTGTACCTGAAAGTGCCGCAAAAAGGACAGCTTTTCGTCCTCCTTTCAGGTACAAAGAAAAGAAAACATTTTCTAAATTTTGGAAAGTCATGCTGAAAGGCAAACTTGGAACATGACCCCTGGGTGCACCCTGAGGTGCACCCCAAGGTGCACCCACGGGTACTGAAATTATTTCATCATAAAAAAATAATGTAATATTAATTTGTCAACGAATCCAATACATGTTCGTAAGTACCTGGATAAATCGTGGAGAGCGTTGTGGAAAGTGTAAGCGTCAGGGGAGGTGAGCATAAAAGTTGGCACGGCGTTGCGGCACCAGGACGAGCGGGTGTGGGTCGGCCACACAGGCGACGGCGGCTGAGTTTCAGTGATTCTTCAGGCCTGTGAAAATTGAATGAGCATAGAGCACACACAGACGAAAATGAAAACACGAACATCATCATAAAGGACGTGTTTGATATGTTGTTTGCAGTGCGACACGCAGACATGCATTGGGCGCGATTGCGAAGTGGCGGATGTACTTGGCGAAGATGAAGGGCACAGGCCGTGCTGAAAGCGAGGTGCGTGAACGCGTGCTGGGAGGGTGTGTATCATCAGTTTGCAGTAGTGATGAGGATTAGGAGGGCGCACATCAAATGCGACGCCGGGCACGAACATGACGACGATGAGTGCGTAGAAGAACTTGCGGCGGAGCTACCTCGTCCACCCTGCGATGCTCACGCCCCCCAGCACGCCCCAGTACACCACCAGCGCGACGCGGCTGTGCCAACTGCCCACAAACACCGCCTGCAGGACCCACAGCCACGGGTCGCGCCCGCCCAGGTACCAGCGGCTCCACAGCGCGATCGGGCCGAGCACCAACAGCCCCGCGCCCACCCTAGAATGCCAGCGCAAGGCGCCGGCGGCCGCGAGAGGACGAGGACCGCCACGAGAAGAAGCCCGCAAGGAAGGGTCCACCGATGAGCACGGACTGGCGGGTGATGAGGCGGGTGGGGAGGCGGAAGGTCGGGGGTGGGAGGGGACCGCGCCGGCGCGGCGGGGGAGCTGAGCAATGGTGGTGGCGAGGTACTCGGCGAAGACAGCGGTGCCGCCGAAGCAGGTAAGGCCAAGCTCGCCGAGGGTGAAGGCGTGGTGCATCATGCAGAGCGTGACGTGGAGGGTGAGCTGGTAGATGTCGTGGGGGTGTGGCTAGTTGTGGGTGGTGGTGGAGGAAAGAGGGACGCTTACCGGCCCAGAGGCCGAAGCCGGCAGAGGGTGGTGATGAAGAGCACGACGAGGACACGGTGAAGAGAACAAAATAGTACGCGCGATGCAACTTGGAGCATGGGATGGAGCGGGGCTCGGTGTCGTCTGGTGGTGCAGAGCAGCAGGGTGGCAGAGGTGAGGGCTGCGAGGGGCACCGCAGACGAGGGCGGTTGTACTGGGGAGGACGCGCGGTGGCTCAATGCACCAGTTGGAGGGCTGCTCGAGGCGGCGAGGGGGAAAGTGGCTGCGATTGTGGATGGTCGCCACGTCAATGACAGGTTGCATGGGAACCTGCAAGCGGGTCCTCGGCGCGCGACCGCATACGTCGTTGGCGCGACTTGATGCGCTTGTTGGCGTGGCTGTTGCAGGTGGAAGTGGGCGAGGAGTTACGGCGGGATCGCGGCGCTTTCTTTCCTTAGTCACCCTCACCCTCGCCCTCACCACCAAAACCCTTCCGGCCCTCCAACAATGTCCCAGCTCGATCGCATGTACGCTGGCAGTGATCCCCACATTCCCTTCAGCCGCTAATTGCCTCTATAGTCGCCGCCTCGCCCCTGACACCCAGTATACTGCTCTTCTCGCCCTGGGGGTCACGGCGTATGAAAATGAGGGCCCCGGGGACTTGTACTTCTGCTTCCGCTTCAAACCCAGCATGCTTGCCAATGTGTTCGAAGGGCGACTGCCCCTCGCTGGTCTCAACACCACCGACATCGAGATCAAAGCCAGGAGCTCGCACAACGTCTATGTGCGCATGCCCCAGTATGCGGAGTGCAAGTGGAGCGGCCATCCAGTGTTTTTTTGGGCGTACTGCACTGTGCCCTGCCGCTTCCTCGCAGGTAACTTGGTTCTCTTCAGCTTCTGCACCCCCTTGACCATCCCCCAGAGCATCTCCTCCACCTCAAGCTCAAAGCTTGTGGTGCTGCCCTCGTCCCCGAGCCCTGCGGTGGCTGTGCAAAAAATCACCAAGAATTTTATTCCCTATTGCTCTTCCAAACATTCGACGAGTTCACGGCGTTGGTCAAGTCGGTGGTGGAAGACCTTGGCAGCATATATGATTTGTGAGTTTTTTTCCCGGTCTTTCCTCGTTCCGGTCTCATGGTACGGGTCAGGCACAAGTTCCAATGAGGGAGTAGGCGTAGGAGCGATGGTATTGGTGGATGAAATCGGGAAATAAAATTTTGTATTAAAGTCGTAGACCTAATTGGGACACTATTGATCGCATTAGCGTAGTGTTCCCAATTTGGAAGAGTAAAAAAAGATGCACCTTGCGCGTACGAAGACATGAGTATTAAATTTAATACAGATGCTGCTAATATATAATACACGGCCCAACGCCGGAGACTTCATGTTTGTAGACAATAGGACAAAGCCTGTGAAAAGGGAATTATGCATCAGCTGGGTTTCTGGGCAGGGGTATCCTCAAACGACTTACCAATAGCTTGGCATAGACATTAGTCACTGCCCGTGCAGGCGCTGGGTCGCACTAATAAGTGATAATCGAGCTAGAAGAGGGGAGGGTTAAAAGGGTCCATATCGGGTCGCGAAACTCATACCTCGGGAGATGACAGGTGGTTTACCGGACACATGGAGAGCAGAGCGAAGGGTTTCACAGCTTGAGAAGAGAAGAAATTGAGAGCTGCGCTGAGCGATCTACACTCGGGGCGGCTCAAGTGACCGTGAAGGCTTATGGTAAGGTCCAGGAACGAGTTATGGGACTCAGGGGGCTGTCGTAGAACCGAGAATATTGGACGTGGGGGCCGCACAGCAAAATGGCAAATAAATAAATAAAAGTATTCAAGGTGTAGACCTAATCGGGACACTATTGATGGCATTAGCGTAGTGTTCCAAATTGGGGAGTGTGTAAAAAAAAAACGACGCACACTAAGCTACCTCAAGGGGACGAAGACACGAATATTATGCAATCTCATATTCAATCATGAAAGATGGAATACCGACACCGCAGACTTTGTGCTGGTAGATAGATAATATGACAAGTCCTGCAAAAATGGAAATTCATGCATTAGCTAGGCTTGTGGAGCGGGAGCCTGAGAAGACTCACCAAAAGCTTTACCATGACGATGGACACTGCGCACGAGAGTTTTGAGCCGCTCTGATGAGACTCCATGGAGCTGGAGGAGGAGAGGGTCAAAGAAGCGCCAATATTGGGTCGTGAAAAAACTCACCTCAAGCGATGTTTAGGGGCACAGCAAGCACACAGAGAGCAAGGGGATAGGATTCAGAGCTCCAGAAGCAATTGAGAGCTGCGCCGAGTGATTACACTCAGGAGGATCAAGGTGACCTCGAGGGTCATGAATTAATATCAGGGATAAACGATGCCAAGCACGCAGCACGAGCGTTCAAGTCAATAGTGTAGGTGCATAGCCCGATGCTGCGGGCATTGTGATAAAATATGGATAATAGGCAAATCCTGCGAAAACTGAAATGCTTGCATCAGCTGAGTTTGTGGGGAGTGGGAGCCGGAGATAATTTACCAGAAGCTTGAGGTAGATAGTAAACACTGCCGGCGAGAGTATTCAGCAGCTCTGATCATTAATATTGAAATCTTATAGCCAAGTACCACAAAACTGAAAATCCGAGTATGAGCTTGGGTCGCAACGTGCGGGAGCTGGAGATGACTTACCAGGGGCTTGAGATAGACCACCCGCGAGAT